ATGAGGACAATGACAGAATATCTGGTGGCATGAGAAAGCAACGACAGAATATCTGGTGACATGAGGAACAATGACAGAATATTTGGTGGCATGAGAAAGCAATGACAGAATATCTGGTGACATGAGGAACAATGACAGAATATCTGGTGGCATGAGAAAGCAATGACAGAATATCTGGTGACATGAGGAACAATGACAGAATTCCTGGTTACAAAACAATTCAATAAGAAAATTCCTGGTGACATTAAAGAGCAATAATTGAATTCCTGGTGACATGAGAGAGCAATAACAGAATTCCTGGTGACATGAGAGAGCAATAACAGAATTCCTAGTGACATGAGCGAGCAATAACAGAATTCCTGGTGACATGAGCGAGCAATAACAGAATTCCAGGTGTCATTTAAAGCAATGATAGAATTCCTGGTGACATGAGAAAGCAATAATTGAATTCTGGTGACAAAAGAATGAAATAACAAAAATCCTGGTGACATGAGAAAGCAATAATTGAATTCCTGGAGTCATTTAAAGCAATAAAAGAATTCCAGGTGACATGAGCGAGCAATAACAAAAATCCTGGTGACATGAGAAAGCAATGATAGAAGTCCTGGGGTCATTTAAAGCAATAACGGAATTCCTGGTGACAAAAGAATGTAATTACAAAATACCTGATAACTGAAGAAAGCAATACCTGAAATGCTGGAGTAATTTGAAGCAATAATAGAACTCCTGGTGACAAAAGAATATAATAACAAAATTCCTGGTGTATTGAAAGAGCGATAATTAAATTTCAGGGAATGTGTTATTAGAATTCCTTATTGACAAAAGAATACAATAGAATTCCTGGTGACTTGAGAGAGCAATAACAGAATTCCTGGTGACATGAAAAAGCAGTAATAGAATTCTTGGAGACATGAGAGAGCAATAACAGAATTCCTTGTGACATGAGAGAGCAATAACAGAATTCCTGGTGACATGAGAGAGCAATAACAGAATTCCTGGTGACATGAGAAAACAATAACTGAATTCCTGGTGACATGAGAGAGCAATAATAGAATTCCTTGTTACATGAGAGCTATAACTGAATTCCTGGTGACATGAGAGAGCATAATAGAATTCCTTGTTA